TCCCCCCATCCGCTCCTCGCACCCCACCTTTACCTCACCCCCGCGCTTCTCTCCCCCCTCTCTCCCCATCCGCCCACTCACCCACCCACTCACGCCCGCAGGTGTGAAGACCAACGGCAACAAGCACTTCATCGTCATTGACGGCTCCATGGCCACGTTGATCCGCCCCTCGCTGTACGGCGCATACCAGCACATCGAGCTCACCAAGCCCAGCAATGCGCCCATGGAGGTGGGGTGGGGGAGCAGGGAGGGAAGGGAAGGCTGGCCGGGGAGGTTTTTTCACGCCGGGGAGGGGCGTGAAGGCTGGGGCCGGCCTGGTGTGTTAGTTGGGTGGATGGCTGGATGAGTGGACGGTAAGTGCCTGTGGTGGCTTATGGGCTGGGTATGAGGTGGGGGGGTAAACTGCAGAAGGTTGGGTAAAAGGGGAGAGGTGTTTTTTCGAAAGGCTATTCAGAGGGCGGCAGCCGTTCCAGCTGTCGAGCCAGTTGGGTTCATTGAGTTGGTTTGGTGCGGATGTGGTGTATATACAGATACATACATACATATGTGTACATACATACATACATACATACATACATACATACATACATACATTAGGGCAGGCGGCTGGCAGATGAGGAGTGTTGAAATGGGAGGTGGCCCCCCATCATATGGACGATGTAGGACGTGATAAAATCAACTTGCGAGGTAACCAGGAGCTAAGTTGATGCGCCGTTGATCCGCTAGATTTGGTTGGATGCTGGTGGTGAGTTGCTGAACCCAACGAATACATTTTGAAGTCGGATGGGGTGAACGGATTAGGGTGCCCCTCTAGCAGGGGAGAGCAGGGAACTGCCTCGGGAAAGGAGGCCGCTGGTGAAGTTTAACCACCCTGTAACGACATACATACATACATACAGACACATGCACGTATTGGGTGTCTCTCTTTGTGTTGACCCTTTTTTGCACCTCCTCTACCTACCTATCTATCTATCTATGTATCCCGTTCTCTCCTCCTCCCATCATCCCCCGGCCGGCTCTCCCTCCCCGCACCCCCCCCCTCAGACGTTCGACGTGGTGGGCCCCATCTGCGAGAGCGGGGACTACCTAGGCAAGGACCGCCAGCTACCTACACCACGTAAGTGTGTATGTATCTTTGTTTGTATGTCTTAAGTGTGTATTATTCGCCCTCCCTTCTCATCCCCATCAACCCGCTCCACCCCACCTAAACACACACACACACAGACATTCTGGAGCACCCGTCTATCTTTGGTATCTGCTTCAATCGTCAGTGGTTCGTCTTACCCCTCCTCCAAACTTCCCCCCCCCCACACACACACACGCCACCACCTAAATCCCCCCTACCCTATCGTCCCAACCCGAACTCCCCAACCCCCTCCCAGAGCCCGGTGACGGTCTTGTGGTTCACGACGCGGGCGCCTACTGCATGTCCATGGCCTCCAACTACAACCTCAAGATGCGGCCCGCGGAGTACTTGGTGGAGGAGGGCGGCAAGCTCAGGAAGATCCGCCACGAGGAGACGCTGGAGCACCACTTGAGCGTCTTTGACGGACTGTGATGATGAGGAGGAGGTGGAGGACGGGAGAGGGAGAGAGAGGGAATAGAAGGCCCTGGTGACTTGTCCGTGGCGGAGACGGAGGGCCGTTAATGCGCATGGGGTTGACGCGTATGTAAGTCTGTGATGGTGGGGTGGATGTGGCGGTGTGGTGAGAAACCGCGTGGCGATCGAGTGAGGTGAAGAAGGGGTCTTAGGGTTGAGAGGCGGCGTGGTGGGTGGTGGGGGCGCGGTTCGGACTGGGGAGGAGGGGGGAAAGGTGGTGATGGTGGCGTGTTGCGGCCGCGGCGTGAAGTTGCGAGGTGAGGGGCGTGAGAGGGCTGCTGTGTCACGCTGCGTGTTCTTCTGCGTGTGTGTTCCCTTCTCCTCTGATATCATTCTCTATTTCTCCCGCTGCCCATGTATCGGCGCATCAACATCGCGTTGTGCCGTGTGTGTGCCTTGGCGGGACTGAGGGTGCGCCTCTCAATCGGATCGGGCCGCGGGCGGATGACGGTGATTTGGGTCCTTTGTGTTCGCGATCGCGATTGGCTGTGTCAGGCCGGAAGGGGGGAAAAGGGCCATATGTTTATACGTATGCCTGAAGCGGGCAGGTGTTCGCTTGTTCGGTGTGATTTTGTGGCGCGCGTGTGAGGATAAAGACCACCTGATGCTGTGTGCCGATTTAGCACCTTTTTAGCACCGTTCTCGTGATAGGACTTTGTGGACTCAGCAGGCAAGCACATCAGGCTGCATCTTGCATTCTGAAAACACCACAAAAATTCAGGAATGACTGAATGAACGCCGACCTGCAGCCGAAGAGAATAATTCGTCGACCTCTACTGACGTTTGACGTTTTTGTGTTACAAGCTTTCGAGCTTGTACGGTCCAAACGAGCCAAGAGGCTCATGAACCGCCGAACTGGAAACAAGAACATATAAAGGTAGTAAATTAACCTTACTGCAAAAACATATTTAATCATCAATAAATTGTAACCTGCATCTTCTGATATGATCCAAAACATGTGCTAGTCCGCGTTGGTTCTCAACGCCCATAACGTCTATCATGCGATCCTCAGGAGACACTCCAAGCTCAAATAGCTTGGTGCGAATATCCGCGTACGCAGGGCACTCAAGCAAAACATGACGCTCGTCCTCAACTGCTTGACGGTTCCCACATACACGACACCACCGCGCTGCTCTTTCCCTGCCATGAGGACGATTCACTGCAAGCGGCCACACACACATCCTAAAACGCATCAGCGTGACATGTTGCTTCGGCGAAATATATCCAGTGCAGTGCTTAGGCAACCCCATCCACTGCTTGTACCGGCACATTTTCACCCCTGGTTGTTTGTTGTCGGAAACAAATGTCCTAGGATCCATTTCTAGTCGCTCACTCTCCCAATCGTCATCAAATCGCCCGCGTAACTCCTGCATCAACTGGCCTATATCCAACGAACATGACGTGAGCGCATCAACTCTAGCCTCAACATCCTCATCTCCCGCCATGTCATGACCAAGAATCTCGAGTATCTTCAGAACCTTCGAACCCCAACCATCGTACGCCATGGATGAAATTAAAGCCAAACGTATCTCCTCTCTGAAGCAATGATGGTACACGGTGCCCTTCGCCTTAACCAGCTTATTCCAAAACCTCTACTGTGCAGACGATTGACCTAACCGCGATCGGTTGCCTGTTGTACGGCTTTACAACGTCTACGGAGGCGAGGAGGTAACAGCTCCAGCTGAGTTCCAGGTAACTAGCCGACATGCGTTCCGACGAAGTAGGAATCAGCATTTGGAGAGATGTCCTAAGGTTCCAGGCAAGCTTATCGCACCTGTAATAAACCTGGTGATATCCCCCTACTACATCGCCTATTGCCCCAAATCGAGTGCGTCGAGTGCACTATTGCGCAAGCCTGCTGTTGTATGTAATGCAATTATATTGATTGCCATATAATGTGATATAACATAGGGTCTTCAAGTCAGTCCTCGTTTTGCACACCTTTGGACATCAACGCTCGGGGCTCGAAGTGGAGCGGTCAACTGAAACGGATCCCAACTTTAATATCGTTTGCTTAAGAGACATAGATAATAAAGAAGTACAATATAGTGTGGCGCGGCGCATCTGCTATCTTCGCATTCAATCAACCTACTTCTCGGATCCATATTTCAGACCAAATTGAACTTGGGGGCAATCATGACGGATACATCAAAAGCAAAATATGGCGAATCAATTGGTGCAGACGGGCCACCACCCAGCCTGGAGCAGCAATTGCTCGCGGCGGCGGCCGCAGGCGACGCCGATGAGGTCGCACGATTGATCGAGCTCGAGGCAGATGTCGACTATCAAGACGAAGACGGGGTCAGTCCGCTCATGAAGGCAGCGGAGGGCGGCCACATTGTCGTACTGTCGGCGCTGCTCCAATCAGGCGCGCCGTGGAACGCGCAGGACAAGCACGGCTACTGCGCAGGTGCGTGCCGTACGGCACGTTTGAATAATGATTTCCCCCCCACCGTTCCTGACAACAGAATGGAGGATGAGGTATACCACCTTGCGGGCTCCGCTACAGGGGACGAATACACTGCCGTACAGACATGCAAGTCGTTTTCCAGTGCAATGCGCCGCTTTTAGTTTGTCATTTTGTTCTGGTTGCCGTACAGTGAGACCTCACAGGCTCAGTAGGCTCTATTTTTATGAAGGGCGCGGATATCCAGCAGTGCGCGGGATGGGGGGAGGCAGCGACCATTCAAACTCTTCACACAACCGCGTACATACATACATACATACAGACAGACAGACAGACAGACGTACATGCAGCACTTGTCTTGGCATCTTCTCTCCTCCCATCCCTTAGCGTGACAGAGGTCTCAAAACGCAGTTCAGAACACAACTTGTCTGCTGGTCGTGTCCAGTCACAGCTGGTGTGGCTGTGGATGCTACCACTGACATTCAACACGTCTGCTGGCACTGTATCCGTACAGTGCAATAAACTGCAAACAAACCGCGCTGTAAACTGTACGACATCGCAGGCGAGTACGCCATGGGTTCAGGGCATCAGGAGGCCGTGGATCTGCTGCTGGATTTCGCCGTACAGGTTGAGCTGGTCCTCGGGGCGCTTGAGAGGTATATATGCGATATGATATATATGTATGTATGTATGTTACCTTACCCCTCGACGGTCCTCCACGATCCTCTACATCCCCGCACCCGCACCCGCATCCGCATCCGTCCATCTCTGGTATCAGCTTCTGTCGCCGTCAAAGTGGTGTGTCTTAACCCACAACTATCCACCCCCCTCCCAGGCGCATGCAGGCCGGTGGGCCCCCCTCCTCCTCCTCCGCCACCGGCGCCAAGGCCGCCCCCAACTCCGGATACCTGACCCAGAAGCTGGTGTACCGCGGAGAGCAGCTTCTGGACGCCGATGGTGGGTGCAACGCCAGGGGTGGAAGCATCATAAATTGTTGCGATGGTCAAAAAGTGATAACTGGGCCCAAGTTTAACGCAGGAGTTTATGTTTTTTGTTTATGTATTATTATTTTTTTGGTGTTTGATTTGCAATTGGCAGCTTTTCCCAAAGTGGTGGGGATGCGGATGGGGATGGGGGTGCAAAGTGTTGGGGAGGATGGTCGTCATCGCGAAAATGACTCCGCTGCCCCTCCTCCTCCTCCTCCACCACCACCACCTTGTCTTGTGGCTAACTTGCAGAGTCATCCTCTCCGTGTCTTTCAGTGTTGGTTGACAATCCCGCATGTGTGTGTGTGTCTGTGCTTGTATTATTTCTCCCCTTCCCCCCGTCCCTCAGGCGAGGCAGTGATGATGGGTTGGGAGCGGCCACTGATGGTACGGCATGCCGAGGTCATCTGTCCGGGGGCGTGGAGGTGTCGGGGGAGAGAGGAGCGGGAGGAGGAGGACGTGCCGCCACACCACCACCACCACCACCACCAACAACAACAACAACAACAACAGGGACAGCGACAGCAAGATCAGCACCAGCACCAGCAGCAGCCGGCAGAGTCCTCAAAGCTGCCTGGGGTGTGTGTGGATGAGGATGCCGAGCTGGACCCGGTGCTGCCGCCATCAACATCACAGCCGCAGCGTGATGGCGGCGGCGGGGGCGGACGGGTGCTGAATGTGGGGTTCGGTCTGGGCATCGTAGATACCGAAATCCAGGTGCGTGCGCGTGTGTGTATGTGTGTATGTATGTGTGCATGCATGTATGTATGTATGTGTGTGTATGTATATGGGTGCATGGGGTTCACTTCCCTGGGTTCTTGAGGTGGTTGCGAGGTGGTTATGAGTTGATTTCCAGTCCTCCTCGTCCTTTCCCTTTTTTAGATGTCTCCCCCTCCCCCCCCGTCTGTGCGCTTTCTTCCCCCCCCCCCGGCCCCCCTGGAGCGGCCCCCCTGGCCGCAGTCACACAAACCCGAGCGACACACCATCGTGGAGGCTCACCCCGACGTGTACGAACATATGGTACGGAAAGGCTGGGCGGAAAGGCCAGGAGTCCGCATCCTCAAGGGCCGCTGGCAGGACGTTCTGCCGGAGCTGTTGGCGGAGGCGCCGTACGACGGAATATTTTTTGATACGTACGGTAAGCGGGTGCCGTACTGTACGACGAGCCCATTAGGATGACGGGTGTTCGTGTGGGTACTGCCGGGGGAGAGGTTGTCAGAGCTCGGGGGGATAAGATGTAAAAGGCCTTTACATGTGTCTTCGCATGCATTTGTACAATTGTGTGTGTATGTGTGTGCGTGTGTGTAATTGCATTGTGCTGTAACACACGCACCATCATCACCGCCACCGCCCCTGCTACGCAGGTGAGTATTATGAGGAGATGAGGGATTTCCACATACACCTGCCGCGGCTCCTGGCCCGGGATGGCGTGTACTCCTTCTTCAACGGCCTGGCCTCGGACAACATCTTCTTCCACATGGTGTACTGCAGGTGAGTACCTGTACGGCAGAGTGGTACATGTACGGCGCCGGGTTTTGAGAGTTGAGCAAGCAGGCAGTCAGGCAGGCAGAGGCTTATTATTTATCCAACCCAATATTATTATAGCTCCTGCAAAGCTTGTTGGAATTTCGACAACACAACTGCCAACTGAAAAAACTGACACTAACGACCAACTTGCTCTTTTGAGTAATTGCGGATTGCGATATCCCAACAGTTGTGGTTGTGGTGCGCACGGAAATCAAACCCATGCTAACTTCCTAGGTACGCCTAACCTATGTACGTTTGTATCGTATCGTATCATCGTATCTGTGTATAAGGAAAGGAATGGAAATCGTATCGTACATCGTACATCGTACCGTTGGCCAGCAACATTTTGTTTCCCAGCAACGGTTTTATCAGGGGGCGCACACAGGAGAATCAATTTCAAGTTTGCGATAATCTGAACTATAAAATATTCCCGTGTTCGTTTGATTCCCGCTTGTCGTACGACGGTTTTTCTGTCCAGGCTGATTTCTCTGGAGCTGGCGTCCAAGGGCCTTACTGTGGAGTACGAACCGTTGGCGGTTGGCAGCCTGGGTGATGAGGTTTGGCAGGGTGTACGGTCCAAGTACTGGCACTTCGAGACGTACTTCCTGCCGCGTGTTACCCGCGTGGATCCGCTGGACGCTGTGGAGGAGGAGGGGGACGAGGGGGGGGAGGGGCGCCCGTGTGTTGAGGAGGCGGGCGGGGTTACGGCAGCGGCGGACGAGACCATGGCAGCGGGCGGGAGGGGGGAGGCGGGGGTTGCAGCTTTAGCGCCGGACGATCAGCTGCAGCAGTAGCAGCGTAATAGCAGCGGCAGTAGCAGCAATGGATTGTGGTGGTGGGAAAGGAGGCCAGGTGGTGGGGGAAGAGGTGGAGGCAGGGGAGGATAGGCAGTAGAGGGGGGGAAGGGAGGGAAGGGGGCCGGAAGGCCGGCAGGGGGGAGCGGCAGGGAAGGTGGCAGAAAACCAGACCGGGGGTTGGCAATTACCTGGTATAGCTTAGCAGGATTCTTATGTATAATTTACTTACTGTTTAAGGGCAAAGGGTGATGTGGGGCTAGGGGTGGAGGGCCTTTTTGGGGATGTTTGGGACTTTCAGGATATTTTCCAAGGTTGGATCATCTTGGTGACGTTGCAGAAAGACTGGTGTGACGTGAGTTCCCGACAGCGTGTGAAAGCAGCAGTGCGTGTTTGGGACGGACAGGAAGTGTTTCAGGATACTATGCGACGGAAGCAGCCCGACTTTGCCTGCGTGTTTAGAGGACTACTTGCTTACACGGGGAGATCAGGACGTGAGGTCGTGAGTGCAGCGCAGTCAAACATGTAACGGTTTGTACGGGGCGATCAGCTATTGTTAAGTTTCAGTGGCTAACGTTACTTATCGGAACTTAAAAAAGATTATATATTTGTTGTGTGACATTTGTTTTTACAGTTTCGCTTGACACGCTGCTTCTTCTGCGAGCTTTAACATGGGACTCCTAACCAGTGTCCTTGACAGGATTTTCTTGGCCTATTTCATTCTACATATTCCCACAACAGTAATTGTGGATAGCCAGAGTGGTGCGTGCTCGTTAGGCCAGAATGGAGGGACTGCGCAGACGCGTTGTTAAAACTGATCGTCAGGCTTCGCTCTGCGTGCGTGTCGTGCTCATCCTGTACCACATGTTCCTGCAAGATGACAAAATCACAGCGGCATCATCGATGATCTGTTCTCATTTACGAAGCCGTTACGCGGTCGGCCGTGACGCTTTCGTCGCATCCCTTCCTCGCAGTGGTGCCAGCTCAATATTTCCCATCCTGGGCTAAGGAGCTACTTCAATGGCACATTAAGACCAACGGAGACCATCTGGTAGGGTGCGGCGGGATGCGGGAAGAGAGAAGCCCCTGACTGCGGTAATGCATGTCCCCAGGCGGGCATTCTCCAGGCTCACATATAACGGACGAAAGACTAAGGGTTAATTGTGCCGCAGCAATCAAGAGTTATTATGCCCTAAAAGGCAAAGTTATGATAAAGCACCAAGCTCGTCTTGACGTATCGCCTTTCCCCCTCCTCTCCTGCTGCGTTTTCCTCATCCTCCTCCGTCTTTACTTTTTCCTCGTAATCCACGTCCCCCAAATCCAGGTTTCATCAAACCCATTGTGGTTTGTTTCTCTGGTGGCCTGCGAGATTCTGCTGCAGCTACCGTTTTTCTTTGTCGCGTCGTACGCTTTCCTCAAGCGCCGTAACTGGATCCGGATTCCATGCATCGTGTACGGCAGCCACGTGGCGACCACCATGGTTCCCATTCTGTCCGAATTCCTTTTCAGCCCAGAAGCGGGACCCAAGAGACTGACGCTGGTCTCGATTTACTTGCCGTACTTGGTCGTACCGGTGCTGCTTGTCGTACGCATGGCGGTTGTGGAGCGGCCGTTCGGCTCAACAGCTGCCGGCAAGCGGTCTAAAAAAAATAAGGCGCAATGAGAATTTAACCTCTCCTCTTGTTAACCGTGTGTCTCCGAAAAGTCTGTTTGACTTCAGTTGTTGATTTGTTTTTTGTGTTTATGGCCCGGGCCTCTTGTGCACGTCGATGGGAGGTAGACTTGTTGACGCTTTTAGTGCCGTACAGTGCTGTACGGTTTGAGTTGAGCATACAGATTTGACCGTATCGAAAGCCAGGGCCTTCCTCCAGGGCCGTTCACTTGTACAACGGTCTGGAAGTGCCGTACATTCGCTATATTTCATTTTCTGTGTGGCTTTTAGGAGCATAGGCTTAGGTGCATAGGAGGGTTATTGTTAGGCCAACTGCTGTTTGTACAGCACCACCAGAAACACATCACCATCATCATCATCATCATCATCATCATCACAATAATAGTAATCTGTAACCTAGGGACATACTTATTTCCCGTCTCCCACAATGTCCACCCCTGGGTAAATACCCGCTATTCTCCGGCGGAGAATTTCCGCTACCGCATAGTACTGCATTTCTACGTATGTATGTATGTACGTATGTATGTGCAAGCTAGAACCATCCTGCCTCATCCTCTTATACAAGTCTACTCACGTTACTGTATACAACCCTTCGCGCACATTTTTGGAGCCTTCGTGCACATCATTGTCGTACGCAACACGATAACAGCGAAATCCAACAGCTAACAATCAACACCAGCCAGCACAGGGGACGGAAGCATGCGCTGCAGCGCTGTTTGCGGAATATTCTTGAGTGATTCTTTTGCGTCTTGGACGTTATCGGCGTTCGTGCTGCTCCTCCTCCCAAGCCTCCTCCTCCACCTTCAACTCTCGGCTATGAAATCTTTAAATTTTGAGTCGCAACTTGCAATTTTTATTAGCGACCATGATTGAGATGGCAACGGCAAATGGAAACTAGCAGGAGAAAACTGAATAGGAAATTTGACAGCAGGAAGAGCAGGAAAATAAATAACAAGGACGTCCCCAAGCCAAGAGAACCTTATACCGCAAAAATAAACTAGCTTTTCCGGCGCTTTCCCCTCAAGGGACCTGTCTCAAGACGACGACAACGACAAATCAACTTATTACTTAAGAGGCTTGTTGTCGCGCGCGAGCGCCGTCCTGCCGCCGCCGCCGCTGCCAGCAGCCGTACCACTACTACCCGTGATGGACGCGGCGGCGGCGGCAGGACGGCGCTCGCGCGCGACAACAAGCCTCTTAAGTAATAAGTTGATTTGTCGTTGTCGTCGTCTTGAGACAGGTCCCTTGAGGGGAAAGCGCCGGAAA